TGTGTGTTCTGATGATCCTCATCTGTGTGTGTGTGTTCTGATGATTCTCCTCTTCTGTGTGTGTGTGTTCTGATGATCCTCATCTGTGTGTGTGTGTGTGTGTGTGTTCTGATGATTCTCCTCTTCTGTGTGTGTGTGTTCTGATGTTCCTGTGTGTGTGTGTGTGTGTGTGTGTGTGTGTTCTGATGATGATCCTCTTCTGTGTGTGTGTGTTCTGATGATCCTCATCTGTGTGTGTGTGTTCTGATGATTCTCCTCTTCTGTGTGTGTGTGTGTGTGTGTGTTCTGATGATCCTCATCTGTGTGTGTGTGTTCTGATGATTCTCCTCTTCTGTGTGTGTGTGTTCTGATGATCCTCATCTGTGTGTGTGTGTGTGTTCTGATGATCCTCTTCTGTGTGTGTGTGTTCTGATGATTCTCCTCTTCTGTGTGTGTGTGTGTGTGTGTGTGTGTTCTGATGATTCTCCTCTTCTGTGTGTGTGTGTTCTGATGATTCTCCTCTTCTGTGTGTGTGTGTGTTCTGATGATTCTCCTCTTCTGTGTGTGTGTGTTCTGATGTTCCTGTGTGTGTGTGTGTGTGTGTGTGTGTGTGTGTTCTGATGATGATCCTCTTCTGTGTGTGTGTGTTCTGATGATCCTCATCTGTGTGTGTGTGTTCTGATGATGATCCTCTTCTGTGTGTGTGTGTGTTCTGATGTTCCTGTGTGAGTGTGTGTGTGTGTGTGTGTTCTGATGATGATCCTCTTCTGTGTGTGTGTGTTCTGATGTTCCTGTGTGTGTGTGTGTGTGTGTGTGTTCTGATGATGATCCTCTTCTGTGTGTGTGTGTTCTGATGTTCCTGTGTGAGTGTGTGTGTGTGTGTGTGTTCTGATGATGATCCTCTTCTGTGTGTGTGTGTTCTGATGTTCCTGTGTGAGTGTGTGTGTGTGTGTGTGTTCTGATGATGATCCTCTTCTGTGTGTGTGTGTTCTGATGTTCCTGTGTGAGTGTGTGTGTGTGTGTGTGTTCTGATGATGATCCTCTTCTGTGTGTGTGTGTTCTGATGTTCCTGTGTGTGTGTGTGTGTGTGTGTGTTCTGATGATGATCCTCTTCTGTGTGTGTGTGTTCTGATGTTCCTGTGTGAGTGTGTGTGTGTGTGTGTGTTCTGATGATGATCCTCTTCTGTGTGTGTGTGTTCTGATGTTCCTGTGTGTGTGTGTGTGTGTGTGTGTGTTCTGATGATGATCCTCTTCTGTGTGTGTGTGTTCTGATGTTCCTGTGTGTGTGTGTGTGTGTGTGTGTGTTCTGATGATGATCCTCTTCTGTGTGTGTGTGTTCTGATGTTCCTGTGTGTGTGTGTGTGTGTGTGTTCTGATGATTCTCCTCTTCTGTGTGTGTGTGTTCTGATGATCCTCATCTGTGTGTGTGTGTTCTGATGATTCTCCTCTTCTGTGTGTGTGTGTGTTCTGATGATTCTCCTCTTCTGTGTGTGTGTGTGTTCTGATGTTCCTGTGTGTGTGTGTGTGTGTGTGTGTGTGTTCTGATGATGATCCTCTTCTGTGTGTGTGTGTTCTGATGTTCCTGTGTGTGTGTGTGTGTGTGTGTGTGTGTGTGTGTGTTCTGATGATTCTCCTCTTCTGTGTGTGTGTGTGTTCTGATGATCCTCATCTGTGTGTGTGTGTTCTGATGATTCTCCTCTTCTGTGTGTGTGTGTTCTGATGATCCTCATCTGTGTGTGTGTGTTCTGATGATTCTCCTCTTCTGTGTGTGTGTGTGTTCTGATGATTCTCCTCTTCTGTGTGTGTGTGTTCTGATGTTCCTGTGTGTGTGTGTTTGTGTGTGTGTTCTGATGATGATCCTCTTCTGTGTGTGTGTGTTCTGATGTTCCTGTGTGTGTGTGTTTGTGTGTGTGTTCTGATGATGATCCTCTTCTGTGTGTGTGTGTTCTGATGTTCCTGTGTGTGTGTGTTTGTGTGTGTGTTCTGATGATGATCCTCTTCTGTGTGTGTGTGTGTTCTGATGATCCTCATCTGTGTGTGTGTGTTCTGATGATGATCCTCTTCTGTGTGTGTGTTCTGATGTTCCTGTGTGTGTGTGTGTTTGTGTGTGTGTTCTGATGATGATCCTCTTCTGTGTGTGTGTGTGTTCTGATGATCCTCATCTGTGTGTGTGTGTTCTGATGATTCTCCTCTTCTGTGTGTGTGTGTTCTGATGATCCTCATCTGTGTGTGTGTGTGTGTTCTGATGATTCTCCTCTTCTGTGTGTGTGTGTTCTGATGATCCTCATCTGTGTGTGTGTGTTCTGATGATTCTCCTCTTCTGTGTGTGTGTGTTCTGATGATCCTCATCTGTGTGTGTGTTCTGATGATCCTCATCTGTGTGTGTGTGTTCTGATGATCCTCATCTGTGTGTGTGTGTTCTGATGATTCTCCTCTTCTGTGTGTGTGTGTTCTGATGATCCTCATCTGTGTGTGTGTGTGTGTGTGTGTGTGTGTTCTGATGTTCCTGTGTGTGTGTGTGTGTGTGTGTTCTGATGATTCTCCTCTTCTGTGTGTGTGTGTTCTGATGATCCTCATCTGTGTGTGTGTGTTCTGATGATTCTCCTCTTCTGTGTGTGTGTGTTCTGATGATCCTCATCTGTGTGTGTGTGTTCTGATGATCCTCTTCTGTGTGTGTGTTCTGATGATTCTCCTCTTCTGTGTGTGTGTGTGTGTGTGTTCTGATGATCCTCATCTGTGTGTGTGTGTTCTGATGATTCTCCTCTTCTGTGTGTGTGTGTTCTGATGATCCTCATCTGTGTGTGTGTGTGTGTTCTGATGTTCCTGTGTGTGTGTTCTGATGATTCTCCTCTTCTGTGTGTGTGTTCTGATGTTCCTGTGTGTGTGTGTGTGTGTGTGTGTGTGTGTGTGTGTGTGTGTTCTGATGATTCTCCTCTTCTGTGTGTGTGTGTGTTCTGATGATGATCCTCTTCTGTGTGTGTGTTCTGATGTTCCTGTGTGTGTGTGTGTGTGTGTGTGTTCTGATGATTCTCCTCTTCTGTGTGTGTGTGTGTTCTGATGATGATCCTCTTCTGTGTGTGTGTTCTGATTCTCCTCTTCTGTGTGTGTGTTCTGATGTTCCTGTGTGTGTGTGTGTGTGTGTGTGTGTGTTCTGATGATTCTCCTCTTCTGTGTGTGTGTGTTCTGATGATGATCCTCTTCTGTGTGTGTGTTCTGATTCTCCTCTTCTGTGTGTGTGTTCTGATGTTCCTGTGTGTGTGTGTGTGTGTGTGTGTGTGTTCTGATGATGATCCTCTTCTGTGTGTGTGTGTTCTGATGATGATCCTCTTCTGTGTGTGTGTTCTGATTCTCCTCTTCTGTGTGTGTGTTCTGATGTCCCTGTGTGTGTGTGTGTGTGTGTGTGTTCTGATGATTCTCCTCTTCTGTGTGTGTGTGTTCTGATGATTCTCCTCTTCTGTGTGTGTGTGTTCTGATGTTCCTGTGTGTGTGTGTGTGTGTGTGTGTGTGTGTGTGTGTGTTCTGATGATGATCCTCTTCTGTGTGTGTGTTCTGATTCTCCTCTTCTGTGTGTGTGTTCTGATGTCCCTGTGTGTGTGTGTGTGTGTGTGTGTTCTGATGATGATCCTCTTCTGTGTGTGTGTTCTGATGATCCTCTTCTGTGTGTGTGTGTTCTGATGTTCCTGTGTGTGTGTGTGTGTGTGTGTTCTGATGATTCTCCTCTTCTGTGTGTGTGTGTTCTGATGATCCTCATCTGTGTGTGTGTGTTCTGATGATTCTCCTCTTCTGTGTGTGTGTGTTCTGATGATCCTCATCTGTGTGTGTGTGTTCTGATGATTCTCCTCTTCTGTGTGTGTGTGTTCTGATGATCCTCATCTGTGTGTGTGTTCTGATGTTCCTGTGTGTGTGTGTGTGTGTGTGTGTTCTGATGATTCTCCTCTTCTGTGTGTGTGTGTGTTCTGATGATTCTCCTCTTCTGTGTGTGTGTGTTCTGATGTTCCTGTGTGTGTGTGTGTGTGTGTGTTCTGATGATTCTCCTCTTCTGTGTGTGTGTTCTGATGTTCCTGTGTGTGTGTGTGTGTGTGTTCTGATGATTCTCCTCTTCTGTGTGTGTGTTCTGATGTTCCTGTGTGTGTGTGTGTGTTCTGATGATTCTCCTCTTCTGTGTGTGTGTTCTGATGTTCCTGTGTGTGTGTGTGTGTGTGTGTGTGTTCTGATGATTCTCCTCTTCTGTGTGTGTGTTCTGATGTTCCTGTGTGTGTGTGTGTGTGTGTTCTGATGATTCTCCTCTTCTGTGTGTGTGTTCTGATGTTCCTGTGTGTGTGTGTGTGTTCTGATGATTCTCCTCTTCTGTGTGTGTGTGTTCTGATGATCCTCTTCTGTGTGTGTGTGTTCTGATGATTCTCCTCTTCTGTGTGTGTGTGTTCTGATGATGATCCTCTTCTGTGTGTGTGTTCTGATGTTCCTGTGTGTGTGTGTGTGTGTTCTGATGTTCCTGTGTGTGTGTGTGTGGTGTGTTCTGATGATCCTCTTCTGTGTGTGTGTTCTGATGATTCTCCTCTTCTGTGTGTGTGTGTGTGTGTTCTGATGATCCTCTTCTGTGTGTGTGTTCTGATGTTCCTGTGTGTGTGTGTGTGTTCGTTCTGATGATTCTCCTCTTCTGTGTGTGTGTGTGTTCTGATGATTCTCCTCTTCTGTGTGTGTGTGTTCTGATGTTCCTGTGTGTGTGTGTGTGTGTGTGTGTGTGTTCTGATGATTCTCCTCTTCTGTGTGTGTGTGTGTTCTGATGATTCTCCTCTTCTGTGTGTGTGTTCTGATGTTCCTGTGTGTGTGTGTGTGTGGTGTGTTCTGATGTTCCTGTGTGTGTGTGTGTGTGTTCTGATGTTCCTGTGTGTGTGTGTGTGTGGTGTGTTCTGATGATCCTCTTCTGTGTGTGTGTTCTGATGATCCTCTTCTGTGTGTGTGTTCTGATGTTCCTGTGTGTGTGTGTGTGTTCTGATGTTCCTCTTCTTCTGTGGTGTCAGGGGCGCGTCAGGACGAAGACGGTGAAGAAGGCCGCGCGGGTCATCATAGAGAAGTACTACACTCGTCTGGGCAACGACTTCCACACCAACAAGCGTGTGTGTGAGGAGATCGCCATCATCCCCAGCAAGAAGCTGCGCAACAAGATCGCCGGGTGAGAGAGAGCAGTGCATGCTGGGAGACTGAGTCCGGGACGGTCAGGTGACGGTGATGTCACTTCCTGTCCCCGCAGGTATGTGACACACCTGATGAAGCGCATCCAGCGAGGGCCTGTGCGCGGCATCTCCATCAAACTGCAGGAGGAGGAGCGCGAGCGCAGGGACAACTACGTGCCCGAGGTGAGCCTTCCCATCATGCTCTGCGGTGGTCACGTGACCTGTCTCGAAAGTGACTGTGGAGTGTCGTCTCCAGGTCATCGAAGCACAGGGAGAGAAACTGAAAGTGTTTCCCGTGTTTGCTGGATTCTGTTCCTGACGAACCCTGAATCTTTCGCACAACCGCTCGCTAGCGTTAGAGGGGCGAACGAGGCGAAGCGAGCGAATGAGGGACGAGGCGGGCGAACGAATGAGGGGCGAGGCGGGCGAACGAATGAGGGGCGAGGCGGGCGAACGAATGAGGGGCGAGGCGGGCGAACGAATGAGGGGCGTGGCGGGCGAACGAATGAGGGGCGAGGCGGATGGGGGGCGTGGCGGGCGAACGAATGGGGGGCGTGGCGGGCGAACGAATGAGGGGCGAGGCGGTGCGAACGAATGAGGGGCGAGGCGGGCGAACGAATGAGGGGCGTGGCGGGCGAACGAATGGGGGGCGTGGCGGGCGAACGAATGTGGGGCGAGGCGGGCGAACGAATGAGGGGCGAGGCGGTGCGAACGAATGAGGGGCGAGGCGGGCGAACGAATGAGGGGCGGGCGAACGAATGAGGGGCGGGCGGGCGAACGAATGAGGGGCGGGCGGGCGGGCGGGCGGGCGGGCGGGCGAACGAATGAGGGGCGGGCGGGCGAACGAATGAGGGGCGGGCGGGCGGGCGGGCGAACGAATGAGGGGCGGGCGGGCGGGCGGGCGGGCGGGCGAACGAATGAGGGGCGGGCGGGCGGGCGGGCGGGCGAACGAATGAGGGGCGGGCGGGCGGGCGGGCGGGCGAACGAATGAGGGGCGGGCGGGCGAACGAATGAGGGGCGGGCGGGCGGACGAATGAGGGGCGGGCGGGCGGACGAATGAGGGGCGGGCGGGCGGACGAATGAGGGGCGGGCGGACGAATGAGGGGCGGGCGAACGAATGAGGGGCGGGCGAACGAATGAGGGGCGGGCGAACGAATGAGGGGCGGGCGAACGAATGAGGGGCGGGCGGGCGGGCGAACGAATGAGGGGCGGGCGGGCGGGCGAACGAATGGGGGGCGTGGCGGGCGAACGAATGAGGGGCGAGGCGGGCGAACGAATGAGGGGCGAGGCGGGCGAACGAATGAGGGGCATGGCGGTGCGAACGAATGAGGGGCGGGCGAACGAATGAGGGGCGGGCGGGCGAACGAATGAGGGGCGAGCGAACGAATGGGGGGCGAGGCGGGCGAACGAATGAGGGGCGAGCGAACGAATGGGGGGCGAGGCGGGCGAACGAATGAGGGGCGAGGCGGGCGAACGAATGGGGGGCGAGGGGCGAGCGAACGAATGGGGGGCGAGGCGGGCGAACGAATGAGGGGCGTGGCGGGCGAACGAATGAGGGGCGAGGTGGGCGAACGAATGAGGGGCGTGGCGGGCGAACGAATGAGGGGCGAGGCGGGCGAACGAATGAGGGGCGTGGCGGGCGAACGAATGGGGGGCGAGGCGGGCGAACGAATGAGGGGCGTAGCGGGCGAACGAATGAGGGGCGAGCGAATGGGGGTGAACGAGGCGTATCGCAGAAACGGCTTTGTCACGCGGAGTGATAAAACTACTTTTATTTGACATGTTACTTTATTAAATATTAATAACAATCAACAATAATCACCCACCAAATTATCATCTCTCCTCAGTTTAACGAGTGAACAGCAATGCCACAACACCTGGCTGTTATAAAACACTTTCAACTGAGTTAATAATATTTAATAAAAAAATAATATACCTATATAATGTACCGTATTGATATAATTTAATTTCAAAATTCATCTATATAATATTTTCTCAATATTTTAATGTTTTTTTTCAAGTATTGATTAATAAAGGTAGAAACCCCCTAACCCTAGCATGGAGTAAATGTTAAAGCAGAGATATGAAAGCTGTCAGTAATCTCGCTCAGTCCTCGCGTATTGCATTCTGGGAAATAGTGCTTCAGCAAGTGTACATCGAGTTTAGACTCGAATTCAGAGAGGATTGTGGGTAAAAGTAGTGAACGAATGTTGTTCACTCAGACTACAAAATGGCCGAAGCCGGTATAGTGCACTATATAGTGTACAGGGAGCGGTTTCGGCCACGGCTGTACTTTAGCTTTATTAATGATGAGAATTAGCTTTAGCTTCTCATGTTTATACACGTTCTACATTTAGTGTACATGTTCATTTTAGTTAAAATTTTAGTAGCTTTGTCACATTTATTAGGTTTTTAGTTGTTTAATTTATTGATTTCTAGGTAAAAGGTAAACTTGTTTAGTTTATTGCCAAGACAGCATTTCTATTTTTCAGTTCATCAAGTTTTTCAACCAATATTTATATATTTAATTGTAGCTTTATCTCAGTTAATAAGTGTTTTTAAAATTGTGATTTGAGTGGTATTAGCTCGGCGTGGAGTGAGTGATCGTCATGTGATGTAAAGTGGTCATGTGATGTAAAGTGGTCATGTGATGTAAAGTGGTCATGTGATGTAAAGTGGTCATGTGATGTGTTTCCCGCAGGTTTCGGCTCTGGATCAGGAGATCATCGAGGTCGACACTGACACCAAGGAGATGCTCAAGCTTCTGGTGAGTCACTCTAACCCTTCCCATCATGCTCTGCGGTGGTCACGTGACCTGTCTCGAAAGTGACTGTGGAGTGTCGTCTCCAGGTCATCGAAGCACAGGGAGAGAAACTGAAAGTGTTTCCCGTGTTTGCTGGATTCTGTTCCTGACGAACCCTGAATCTTTCGCACACACCTGTCGATCCGATCATGTGACCACTGATGAGGTCAGAGGTCACAGCTGTTGGTCTGATCATGTGACCAATGATGAGGTCAGAGGTCACAGCTTTCAGTCTGATCATGTGACCACTGATGAGGTCAGAGGTCACAGCTGTTAGGGATGGGATATTTTGTTCATTTCTATCATCAACAGGTCTCAAATAACGAGTAATTGTGGGCGGGGCTTGTTCATCATGAAAATATTTTAAGACTGTTACGAAAATTAATGTTGTCAAATAAAAATATGACATGAAAACATGAATGTATGAATGGAAAACACACAGCTGGATTATGATGCATCACAGCTGAAGAGTAAATGACCTGACACATCCTAATCATTACGTTCGTGAATGTCACACACACAGAACGTCACTGACGTCAGAACGTCACACACACAGAACGTCACTGACGTCAGAACGTCACACACACAGAACATCACTGACGTCAGAACGTCACACACACAGAACGTCACACACACAGAACATCACTGACGTCAGAACGTCACACACACAGAACGTCACACAGAACGTCACTGACGTCAGAACGTCACACACACAGAACGTCACTGACGTCAGAACGTCACACACACAGAACGTCACACACACAGAACATCACTGACGTCAGAACGTCACACACACAGAACGTCACACACACAGAACATCACTGACGTCAGAACGTCACACACACAGAACGTCACACAGAACGTCACTGACGTCAGAACGTCACACACAGAACGTCACTGACGTCAGAACGTCACACACACAGAACGTCACTGACGTCAGAACGTCACACACACAGAACGTCACTGACGTCAGAACGTCACACACACAGAACATCACTGACGTCAGAACGTCACACACACAGAACGTCACTGACGTCAGAACGTCACACACACAGAACGTCACACACACAGAACATCACTGACGTCAGAACGTCACACACACAGAACATCACTGACGTCAGAACGTCACACACACAGAACGTCACTGACGTCAGAACGTCACACACACAGAACGTCACACACACAGAACGTCACTGACGTCAGAACGTCACACACACAGAACGTCACACACACAGAACGTCACTGACGTCAGAACGTCACACACACAGAACGTCACACACACAGAACGTCACTGACGTCAGAACGTCACACACACAGAACGTCACTGACGTCAGAACGTCACACACACAGAACGTCACTGACGTCAGAACGTCACACACACAGAACGTCACACACACAGAACGTCACTGACGTCAGAACGTCACACACACAGAACGTCACACACACAGAACGTCACTGACGTCAGAACGTCACACACACAGAACGTCACACACACAGAACATCACTGACGTCAGAACGTCACACACACAGAACGTCACTGACGTCAGAACGTCACACACACAGAACGTCACTGACGTCAGAACGTCACACACACAGAACGTCACTGACGTCAGAACGTCACACACACAGAACGTCACTGACGTCAGAACGTCACACACACAGAACGTCACACACACAGAACGTCACTGACGTCAGAACGTCACACACGCAGAACGTCACACACACAGAACATCACTGACGTCAGAACGTCACACACACAGAACGTCACACACACAGAACATCACTGACGTCAGAACGTCACACACACAGAACGTCACACACACAGAACGTCACACACACAGAACATCACTGACGTCAGAACGTCACACACACAGAACGTCACACACACAGAACGTCACTGACGTCAGAACGTCACACACACAGAACGTCACACACACAGAACGTCACTGACGTCAGAACGTCACACACACAGAACGTCACACACACAGAACGTCACTGACGTCAGAACGTCACACACGCAGAACGTCACACACACAGAACGTCACTGACGTCAGAACGTCACACACGCAGAACGTCACACACACAGAACGTCACTGACGTCAGAACGTCACACACACAGAACGTCACACACACAGAACGTCACTGACGTCAGAACGTCACACACACAGAACGTCACTGACGTCAGAACGTCACACACACAGAACGTCACTGACGTCAGAACGTCACACACACAGAACGTCACTGACGTCAGAACGTCACACACACAGAACGTCACTGACGTCAGAACGTCACACACGCAGAACGTCACTGACGTCAGAACGTCACACACACAGAACGTCACTGACGTCAGAACGTCACACACACAGAACGTCACACACACAGAACGTCACTGACGTCAGAACGTCACACACACAGAACGTCACACACACAGAACGTCACTGACGTCAGAACGTCACACACACAGAACGTCACTGACGTCAGAACGTCACACACACAGAACGTCACTGACGTCAGAACGTCACACACACAGAACGTCACTGACGTCAGAACGTCACACACGCAGAACGTCACTGACGTCAGAACGTCACACACACAGAACGTCACTGACGTCAGAACGTCACACACGCAGAACGTCACACACACAGAACGTCACTGACGTCAGAACGTCACACACGCAGAACGTCACACACACAGAACGTCACTGACGTCAGAACGTCACACACACAGAACGTCACTGACGTCAGAACGTCACACACGCAGAACGTCACACACAGAACGTCACTGACGTCAGAACGTCACACACACAGAACGTCACACACAGAACGTCACACAGAACGTCACACACACAGAACGTCACTGACGTCAGAACGTCACACACACAGAACGTCACACACACAGAACGTCACACACACAGAACATCACTGACGTCAGAACGTCACACACACAGAACGTCACACACACAGAACGTCACACACACAGAACATCACTGACGTCAGAACGTCACACACACAGAACGTCACACACACAGGACGTCACACACACAGAACGTCACTGACGTCAGAACGTCACACACGCAGAACGTCACACACACAGAACGTCACACAGAACGTCACTGACGTCAGAACGTCACACACACAGAACGTCACTGACGTCAGAACGTCACACACACAGAACGTCACTGACGTCAGAACGTCACACACACAGAACGTCACTGACGTCAGAACGTCACACAGAACGTCACTGACGTCAGAACGTCACACACACAGAACGTCACACACACAGAACGTCACTGACGTCAGAACGTCACACACACAGAACGTCACTGACGTCAGAACGTCACACACGCAGAACGTCACACACAGAACGTCACTGACGTCAGAACGTCACACACACAGAACGTCACACACAGAACGTCACACAGAACGTCACACACACAGAACGTCACTGACGTCAGAACGTCACACACACAGAACGTCACACACACAGAACGTCACACACACAGAACATCACTGACGTCAGAACGTCACACACACAGAACGTCACACACACAGAACGTCACACAGAACGTCACACAGAACGTCACACACACAGAACGTCACTGACGTCAGAACGTCACACACGCAGAACGTCACACACACAGAACGTCACACAGAACGTCACTGACGTCAGAACGTCACACACACAGAACGTCACACAGAACGTCACTGACGTCAGAACGTCACACACACAGAACGTCACTGACGTCAGAACGTCACACACGCAGAACGTCACACACACAGAACGTCACTGACGTCAGAACGTCACACACGCAGAACGTCACACAGAACGTCACTGACGTCAGAACGTCACACACACAGAACGTCACTGACGTCAGAACGTCACACACACAGAACGTCACTGACGTCAGAACGTCACACACACAGAACGTCACTGACGTCAGAACGTCACACACGCAGAACGTCACACACACAGAACGTCACTGACGTCAGAACGTCACACACACAGAACGTCACACACACAGAACGTCACACACACAGAACGTCACTGACGTCAGAACGTCACACACACAGAACGTCACACACACAGAACGTCACACAGAACATCACTGACGTCAGAACGTCACACACACAGAACGTCACACAGAACGTCACACAGAACGTCACACACACAGAACATCACTGACGTCAGAACGTCACACACACAGAACGTCACACAGAACGTCACACAGAACATCACTGACGTCAGAACGTCACACACACAGAACGTCACACAGAACGTCACTGACGTCAGAACGTCACACACACAGAACGTCACACACACAGAACGTCACACAGAACGTCACTGACGTCAGAACGTCACACACACAGAACGTCACTGACGTCAGAACGTCACACACACAGAACGTCACTGACGTCAGAACGTCACACACACAGAACGTCACACACACAGAACGTCACTGACGTCAGAACGTCACACACACAGAACGTCACTGACGTCAGAACGTCACACACACAGAACGTCACTGACGTCAGAACGTCACACACACAGAACGTCACACAGAACGTCACTGACGTCAGAACGTCACACACACAGAACGTCACTGACGTCAGAACGTCACACACACAGAACGTCACTGACGTCAGAACGTCACACACGCAGAACGTCACACAGAACGTCACTGACGTCAGAACGTCACACACACAGAACGTCACACACACAGAACGTCACACACACAGAACGTCACACACACAGAACGTCACTGACGTCAGAACGTCACACACACAGAACGTCACACACACAGAACGTCACACAGAACATCACTGACGTCAGAACGTCACACACACAGAACGTCACACAGAACGTCACACAGAACGTCACACACACAGAACATCACTGACGTCAGAACGTCACACACACAGAACGTCACACAGAACGTCACACAGAACGTCACACAGAACATCACTGACGTCAGAACGTCACACACACAGAACGTCACACAGAACGTCACACAGAACGTCACACAGAACGTCACACAGAACATCACTGACGTCAGAACGTCACACACACAGAACGTCACACACACAGAACGTCACACACACAGAACATCACTGACGTCAGAACGTCACACACACAGAACGTCACACACACAGAACGTCACACACACAGAACGTCACTGACGTCAGAACGTCACACACGCAGAACGTCACACACACAGAACGTCACACACACAGAACGTCACTGACGTCAGAACGTCACACACACAGAACGTCACACACAGAACGTCACTGACGTCAGAACGTCACACACACAGAACGTCACACACAGAACGTCACACACACAGAACGTCACTGACGTCAGAACGTCACACACACAGAACGTCACACACACAGAACGTCACACACACAGAACATCACTGACGTCAGAACGTCACACACACAGAACGTCACACACACAGAACGTCACTGACGTCAGAACGTCACACACACAGAACGTCACACACACAGAACGTCACACACACAGAACATCACTGACGTCAGAACGTCACACACACAGAACGTCACACACACAGAACGTCACACACACAGAACATCACTGACGTCAGAACGTCACACACACAGAACGTCACACACACAGAACGTCACACACACAGAACATCACTGACGTCAGAACGTCACACACACAGAACGTCACACACACAGAACGTCACTGACGTCAGAACGTCACACACACAGAACGTCACACACACAGAACGTCACACACACAGAACATCACTGACGTCAGAACGTCACACACACAGAACGTCACACACACAGAACGTCACACACACAGAACATCACTGACGTCAGAACGTCACACACACAGAACGTCACACACACAGAACGTCACACACACAGAACATCACTGACGTCAGAACGTCACACACACAGAACGTCACACACACAGAACGTCACACACACAGAACGTCACTGACGTCAGAACGTCACACACGCAGAACGTCACTGACGTCAGAACGTCACACACACAGAACGTCACTGACGTCAGAACGTCACACACACAGAACGTCACTGACGTCAGAACGTCACACACACAGAACGTCACACACACAGAACGTCACACAGAACGTCACTGACGTCAGAACGTCACACACACAGAACGTCACTGACGTCAGAACGTCACACACACAGAACGTCACTGACGTCAGAACGTCACACACACAGAACGTCACTGACGTCAGAACGTCACACACACAGAACGTCACTGACGTCAGAACGTCACACACACAGAACGTCACTGACGTCAGAACGTCACACACGCAGAACGTCACACAGAACGTCACTGACGTCAGAACGTCACACACACAGAACGTCACACACACAGAACGTCACACACACAGAACGTCACTGACGTCAGAACGTCACACACACAGAACGTCACACACACAGAACGTCACACAGAACATCACTGACGTCAGAACGTCACACACACAGAACGTCACACAGAACGTCACACAGAACGTCACACACACAGAACATCACTGACGTCAGAACGTCACACACACAGAACGTCACACAGAACGTCACTGACGTCAGAACGTCACACACACAGAACGTCACACACACAGAACGTCACACAGAACGTCACACAGAACGTCACACACACAGAACATCACTGACGTCAGAACGTCACACACACAGAACGTCACACAGAACGTCACTGACGTCAGAACGTCACACACACAGAACGTCACACACACAGAACGTCACACACACAGAACGTCACACACACAGAACGTCACACACACAGAACGTCACACACACAGAACGTCACACAGAACGTCACTGACGTCAGAACGTCACACACACAGAACGTCACTGACGTCAGAACGTCACACACACAGAACGTCACTGACGTCAGAACGTCACACACACAGAACATCACTGACGTCAGAACGTCACACACACAGAACGTCACACAGAACATCACTGACGTCAGAACGTCACACACACAGAACGTCACTGACGTCAGAACGTCACACACACACTGTGTGACGTTAGAATCAATTAACGTAAGTGTTTGGGTAACTATGGCTTACCCAATCACTATTGCTCGTCTCCAATTAGACAGAACGCTGCGGCAAAGTTCCTCAAAAGAAAACGTAAATTTGATCATGTTTCACCTCTTAATCATGGTTTTCATGATTGCTTGTGGCCGTCACACTCGAGTACTGTCAGTCATCTCTATCAGCTGTAGATCAGATGAACTGACCCGGTTCTGGTTCAGTGTGTGTGTGTGTGTGTGTTGAACTGTGATGTCACTGACCCGGTTCTGTTCCCGCAGGACTTCGGGAGCCTGTCAAATCTTCAGGTCACGCAGCCTCCGGTCGGCATGAACTTCAAGACCCCGAGAGGAGTGTGAACACCTGTGTGTGTGTGTGTGTGTGTGAGAGTCTGATGATGATGGACAGGTGTGTGTGTGTGTGTGTGTGTGTGTGTGTGTGTGTGTGTGTGTGTGTGTGTGTGTGTGTGTGTGTGTGTGTGTGTGTGTGTGTGTGTGTGAGAGAGTCTGATGATGATGGACAGGTGTGTGTGTGTGAGAGAGTCTGATGATGATGGACAGGTGTGTGTGTGTGAGAGTCTGATGATGATGGACAGTTGTGTGTGTGTGTGTGTGTGTGTGTGTGTGTCACCTGGTGTTCTCCTGTTTAATGAGCCTCAAGCAGAAACGCATCAGTGAATCTACTCTTTATACTAAAGTTACACTATAAACACTGAGTGAAACATCAGCTTGGAACTGTACTTATTTAAAATGTAACCTAATAAAATGAGTTTTTGAATGAAATCTGCGTCTAAAACACTGAGTGTCATTGATAATCTTTATGATGAGTGATTTATATTTATGATTTACTGACGTCTAAAGTCTGTCTGAAATCAACTGTCTTTGAATTCTTTATTTCTGGCATTTGGTTTTATTTTGTCTGCAAATATTGATGTGATTATAATTAGATTAATCAGCACATGTAATTTGATATAAAAATGAACAGCCCTAGTTGTTAATATATTTCCTTTAATATTAATACCATAAATCCACTTCCTGGTAAAACTCAATATTTACAAAGAATTTAACATTTTATGTTCATTTAAATGGCAATTGTTCAACTCGAGGTTTATGGCATTACGACATTGCTACACGTTTCTCGCCGCGACAGCTTCAGAAGAGGACGACTTCAGTTTTAACGACTGTGAGTGTTCATGTACAGTATGGGTTAGGCCTCATGCTCACCTTTTAGATTTTTGAAATTTAAAGTCCCTGTAAAGTAAAAATGAAGTATGTGTTCTGAGTTTGTCACACCACAGAAAAATGTGTTATTAGCCACCCAGACAAATTTGAATGATAAAAAAAGCCGGCAAGTACATAAAATAAGCTATCAAAATCTTGAAGAAATGAGCAGTATTCTCTGCTCTCAAACGCTGGGGGCGTGTCTGCTGTGGGGGCGTGTCCGCTGGCTGCGCTGAAGCCACGCCCACTCGCGGGAAAGCTGCCGACGGTGATATTTGTGATACTGCTTTCAGGACGGGGAGATGAAGGCCGAGGCGGGAGATAGTCGGTTCGGCCCCATTCACCAGTAACAGCGGATTATCAGTGAATCCCAGTTGTCTCCGACGAAAGTTTATAAAACTATCCCGTGTAAAATGATCGCTACAGAGGCGGGTGTTGGCGGTGATCCTCAGCTCTCCATCAAGGTTGGCTCTTCACAAAATTAATCCACCTCTTCTTGATGTGATCGTTTTTAGGAAATTTAAATAAAGACACCGATCTGTTTTGTACATGATCGCATCCAGGTAGTAGCTAGGGGTGTCGCAATATACCGGTTTTGACGATAATCGTGATATTCAAAACGTGAAATATCGACATCGTGTGAATTTAGAGTGTGGCAATATACCGGTATTGGCGATAACCACGATGTTTAAAATGAATAGGACTTTTATGATACATGACACGTATACTCCAGCGCCAGTTGAGGTGGCAGTATTGCACCCGCTGACATCTATCAAATGAGAAGACGCAGCGCGCGCCCGCGCAGCCACTCTGGTATGGGAGTTCTTCGGCTTCAAAGAAAACAGCACATTAAAGGGGGTCGAACACCGGACGTGAAGCGCAGAGAATTCTTTAAAATTCAAACACATTATTTTCTAGGAGTTTACACACACCACCGGCACCATTCGGCGTCTGTCCGCGACGCCCAGCAATGGCTCGGATTTTCAGGTGAGATTCTCAAATCATTAACGGATGCGCTCTGACTGAGGTAAAGTGTTCAGACTGCAGACTTAGCAACGATTGTATTTAATTGTACAGTACAATCATACATGATCTTAATTTCATAATGTCCTTACACATAACAATATTGCTGGCCATGAACTGAGAAAGTGCGCGTCGCGGCGCTGCGCTTCTCGTCCGGTGCGCGACCCCCTTAAGCCCAATCTGCAGAATGTGTAGCAGCTAGCCAGCAACCTTTTTACCCATCTCCGTGTCCATCACCCTGCGGATTACGCTATTTTACAGAGAGTAAATTGCGATTATTTTACTTCATGGAATGGGAAATGTGACATTAACCTGTTAACAGGGTTTCTGTTTTCATATTTGTTTAAATATTATTAAGTGATTATTAAGTACCCCGTTTTCTTTACTCGTCTTATTTTTGTATTTTCACTTGATTTGTTTTGTTCAAATCTGCATGACTTGCACCGGCGCAACAATAGGTTTAAGAGCTTTTCAGTTCTTCAGGAAACATTCAGACAGTGTTTCGATCCAGTTTGAAACCAGATATACTTCACATGCTTGTCTTACTTCACAAAAATGTGCACTCAAATATAAGAACGCAAGAAGTAAAAATGCAAAAAAAAGAAAAATTAAATAAAGTAAAAATTAATTTAACTGATTTGACATTTTTCCCCCCAAGGTTTCTATAGATATCGCGATATATCGATATCGTGAATTATTTTGGCCACAATAACCGTGGTGTGAAAAATCTAACATCGTGACAGCCCTAGTAGTAGCCTACGCATTTCCGTGTCGAAGGCATAGCTAGCTAGCCAACTGTAGGCTGCTGTAGTAACTAATAATACTGACAGTAAGTCGCGATTGAGTGGCCTCAGTGCGTCATCAAGTAGGGGGGTGTCCAGCAGCTCAGGGGCTCCAGTGTGTCATCGAGCCCCGTTTTAGCACCGCCCAAAAAATCCGGAAAATAGCAATGGTGAAAAACTGTTTAACGGTCTAACTCCACAATTCAGTAATTCACAGTTCACAGTCTTTGTAATATGTTTTAGCAATACATTTCTAACATTTATAATGGGTTTAGAATTTTTTTTTAGAATTGCCTTTACAGGGACTTTAATAAAAAAAACCTGTCAAATCGTGTAAATATTGCTATTTTTTCAGTAGGCCTACCGCATAATCTCATTTATTTTAATATCAATTATCTAAAAAGTGTCAAGCATCATGCCTGACACACACATGAACACTGTACAGTTGGGTTTATGACTGCAAGTCCTCTTTAAATGCTAGAAGTGAGAAACGTGTATTAATGTCGTGTGTAACTTGAAACGGTCCCTAAATGTAGAATATCCAGTGTCAGGGTAAGTTGTGTCAGGCCCACTTGCCTGTTATCTACTATAGCCTACATCCCCACTAATGTGCATGTTTGGTCTTCTATATCACAGTATCAGTGCATTAAGCGTGTAGAGTCCCGACAGCAGGGGGTCCCCAGTGTTGAGGGGATCCCCAGTGTTGAGGGGATCCCAGTGTTGAGTGTTGAGGGGATTCCCAGTGTTGAGTGTTGAGGGGATCCCCAGTGTTGAGTGTTGAGGGGATCCTCAGTGTTGAGGGGATCCTCAGTGTTAGGGGATCCCCAGTGTTGAGTGTTGAGGGGATCCTCAGTGTTGAGGGGATCCTCAGTGTTGAGTGTTGAGGGGATCCCCAGTGTTGAGTGTTGAGGGGATCCTCAGTGTTGAGGGGATCCTCAGTGTTAGGGGATCCCCAGTGTTGAGTGTTGAGGGGATCCTCAGTGTTGAGGGATCCCCAGTGTTGAGGGGATCCCCAGTGTTGAGTGTTGAGGGGATCCTCAGTGTTGAGTGTTGAGGGGATCCTCAGTGTTGAGGGGATCCTCAGTGTTGAGGGGATCCCCAGTGTTGAGGGATCCCCAGTGTTGAGTGTTGAGGGGATCCTCAGTGTTGAGGGATCCCCAGTGTTGAGGGGATCCCCAGTGTTGAGTGTTGAGGGGATCCTCAGTGTTGAGGGATCCCCAGTGTTGAGGGGATCCCCAGTGTTGAGTGTTGAGGGGATCCCCAGTGTTGAGTGTTGAGGGGATCCTCAGTGTTGAGGGGATCCCCAGTGTTGAGTGTTGAGGGGATCCCCAGTGTTGAGTGTTGAGGGGATCCCCAGTGTTGAGTGTTGAGGGGATCCCCAGTGTTGAGGGGATCCTCAGTGTTGAGTGTTGAGGGGATCCCCAGTGTTGAGGGGATCCACAGTGTTGAGGGGATCCCCAGTGTTGAGTGTTGAGGGGATCCCCAGTGTTGAGTGTTGAGGGGATCCTCAGTGTTGAGTGTTGAGGGGATCCTCAGTGTTGAGGGGTCCCCAGTGTTGAGGGGATCCTCAGTGTTGAGGGGATCCTCAGTGTTGAGTGTTGAGGGGATCCCCAGTGTTGAGGGATCCCCAGTGTTGAGGGATCCCCAGTGTTGAGGGATCCCCAGTGTTGAGGGGTCCCCAGTGTTGAGGGGATCCTCAGTGTTGAGTGTTGAGGGGATACTCAGTGTTGAGGGGTCCCCAGTGTTGAGGGGATCCTGTGTTGAGGGGTCCCCAGTGTTGAGGGATCCCCAGTGTTGAGGGATCCCCAGTGTTGAGGGGATCCCCAGTGTTGAGTGTTGAGGGGATCCCCAGTGTTGAGGGGATCCTGTGTTGAGTGTTGAGGGGATCCCCAGTGTTGAGTGTTGAGGGGATCCCCAGTGTTGAGGGGATCCTCAGTGTTGAGGGGATCCTCAGTGTTGAGGGGATCCTCAGTGTTGAGTGTTGAGGGGATCCTCAGTGTTGAGGGATCCCAGTGTTGAGGGGTCCCCAGTGTTGAGGGATCCCCAGTGTTGAGGGATCCCCAGTGTTGAGGGATCCCCAGTGTTGAGGGATCCCCAGTGTTGAGGGGTCCCCAGTGTTGAGGGGTCCCCAGTGTTGAGGGGTCCCCAGTGTTGAGGGATCCCCAGTGTTGAGGGATCCCCAGTGTTGAGGGGATCCCCAGTGTTGAGGAGATCCTCAGTGTTGAGGGATCCCCAGTGTTGAGGGATCCCCAGTGTTGAGTGTTGAGGGGATCCTCAGTGTTGAGTGTTGAGGGGATCCTCAGTGTTGAGTGTTGAGGGGATCCCCAGTGTTGAGGGGATCCTCAGTGTTGAGGGGATCCCCAGTGTTGAGGGGATCCCCAGTGTTGAGGGGATCCCCAGTGTTGAGGGGATCCTCAGTGTTGAGGGGGTCCCCAGTGTTGAGGGGATCCTCAGTGTTGAGTGTTGAGGGGATCCCCAGTGTTGAGAGGATCCTCAGTGTTGAGTGTTGAGGGGTCCCCAGTGTTGAGGGGTCCCCAGTGTTGAGGGATCCCCAGTGTTAAGGGGGTCCCCAGTGTTGAGGGGTCCCCAGTGTTGAGGGGATCCCCAGTGTTGAGGGATCCCCAGTGTTGAGTGTTGAGGGGATCCTCAGTGTTGAGGGGATCCCCAGTGTTGAGAGGATCCTCAGTGTTGAGTGTTGAGGGGATCCTCAGTGTTGAGGGGTCCCCAGTGTTGAGGGATCCCCAGTGTTAAGGGGGTCCCCAGTGTTGAGGGGATCCCCAGTGTTGAGGGATCCCCAGTGTTGAGGGATCCCCAGTGTTGAGTGTTGAGGGGATCCTCAGTGTTGAGGGGTCCCCAGTGTTGAGGGGATCCTCAGTGTTGAGGGGATCCTCAGTGTTGAGTGTTGAGGGGATCCTCAGTGTTGAGGGGATCCCCAGTGTTGAGGGATCCCCAGTGTTGAGGGGATCCTCAGTGTTGAGGGGATCCCCAGTGTTGAGGGATCCCCAGTGTTGAGGGATCCCCAGTGTTGAGGGATCCCCAGTGTTGAGGGATCCCCAGTGTTGAGGGATCCCCAGTGTTGAGGGGATCCCCAGTGTTGAGGGGTCCCCAGTGTTGAGGGGATCCTCAGTGTTGAGGGGATCCTCAGTGTTGAGGGGATCCTCAGTGTTGAGGGGATCCCCAGTGTTGAGGGATCCCCAGTGTTGAGGGGATCCCCAGTGTTGAGGGGTCCCCAGTGTTGAGGGGATCCTCAGTGTTGAGGGATCCCCAGTGTTAAGGGGATCCCCAGTGTTGAGGGATCCCCAGTGTTGAGGGGATCCCCAGTGTTGAGGGATCCCCAGTGTTGAGGGATCCCCAGTGTTGAGGGGATCCTCAGTGTTGAGTGTTGAGGGGATCCTCAGTGTTAAAGGGAATCCTCAGTGTTGAGGGGATCCTCAGTGTTGAGGGATCCCCAGTGTTGAGGGATCCCCAGTTCTGCAGGCGAGAGACATACATGTCGTCTACCTCAGATTTAACGTTTGATCTGCACATCAGCATCGCTAACATTATAATCTCGTTCACGGTAGAGAAAGCTGCTTAAATGTGCAAAACTAACTGTGAAGCCTTCAATGTAAACAGTTTTTGTGTCTTTATCAGCTTTTCCATATATACATAAACTGGCCCTGATAATCATCACAAATACTGACCGCTTGCTCCATTTCTGTAAACCCGTACGTCCCTCTCGCCCGTTGCTCTGGTCTGCGCTGGCGCCCCCTGCTGGTGAGGAGGGCTAACAGCAGATGGAGGTTATCGATCGGCAATCAACTGATATTCCTGCAGTTCCTGGATGTCAAATGTTGAATTTTCTGTCGAATTTGAACCACTGAATTTGTAAAGCAAAATAAAATGGACTGAAAATGACCTGTCGAATATTATAGGTTGTATTTTTAAACAGAATTACCATTTTGGAAGAGAAATCTGAATGGTGAAAATGGATTATTGAATTTTTAATGATGAAAACGTGTGTGAAATGTTTTGAATTAAAATATTCACAGCTTAAATATACAACCATGTTGAATTAGCCTAAAAATGCAATGTATTAAAATGCAAGCACTGTTAATGCAATGCATATTTTTTCAAGTAGTGCAATTCAAAATACTTTTTTGTTTCAAAAACATTTGTCATTATTTTACTTCCATATTTCTCATTCATAACTGAACATGTTTGCATTGAGAAGCGTCTGACTGATTTCTGCTTGAGTTGAGTTGACCTCTGACCCACGGTTGATCTGCTGTGGTGGAAGACACATGAACGTTAGTGCTTCCCAAACCACTGATGATGATGAGGATTTCAGACAGTAACAGGGATTCACTTCATCCTGACGGTAAATATGAATGATATCTGAAATATAGACCAGAAGAACGGTGGAAAGTTCAGGCAACGTGATCCAATAATTTACAATTTTATTAAATCTTTCAATGTAAAACGAGGGGCGTTGGGAAGAACAGTCAGCGAGGCTGCGAGACACATCAGGGGCTTTTGCTGCAAAAATTCATCATCATAATCACTATTATTGCAAAAACGTCCAATAAAGTCCATGACTGTCACATGATCCTCAGAGCAGCGCAAGTCCATGTCATGAAGGAAGTGACAGCCAATAAAAACTAACAAAAACAGGAAGTAGACAAAACACAATCACCTTATTACGACTAACTCTGTCACTGTCACAACATCAGAGAACTTCTTTTCTGTTTAAACGAATTTAAATATTTTAAAAAATATTTCATCATCTACTTTTATTGCGAAAATAGGCAACTGGACTAACTGTGATGATGATGATGATGATGAGCAGCGTGAGGCCACGGTAACGGCACTGTCCACGTCTCCATGACGACCGCCACCATGACGACCGCCACCGTGTCCCTCGTCTCCATGATGACCGCGGGCCGTAAAGCTTGTCTCCATGACGACCTCCGTGTGATGCTCGTCTCCAAACAGCAATGCGTGTTTATCTTGCGCTCAAGCAGTTGCGAGTTTTTGGACAGTTTGCTGGATCTCTGTACATGAATTCCCTGAACGAAACGTACAAACAAACACAAGTGCGTCCTCATGAACCCGAGACCCCCATCCTGCCGACAGTCAGAAGAATCAGCTGGAGAATCAGGAATGTTGTCCTCGGGATTTGGGGAATCAAAGCTCAGAGTAAAAACATAAAACCAGACGAGGAACTCAACGGCATGAACGCAGAAATGTCCATCCATCCGTTCGTCTCTGGCGTCTCTCCACAAACTTTCCAGAGCCTGTGTGTGTGTGAGTGTGGAAGGTAAACAGCTCCACTGCAGAACCTGATTGGACGGTAGGGCGAGAGGAGGCGGGGCTTCATGCAGAGTGTCTCAGGTGGGCTTCCTGGATGTCAGACACATCAACTAGCAGTTTGAGTCACTCACACACACACACACACACACACACACACACACACACACACACACACACACACTGTTGTAACAGTAACTCTCAGATTCATTCACTGAGACGAATAGCTATATTACAGATTGACTGCTCACATATATTAATCTCTGTGTGAATTAATTCATCTGTGTAAATTATTGTTTTTCTAGGACATTCACAAGAGTTTCACTGAAGGCCTCAAGAAGAAACTGAGTTCCACGAGTTATAAACCTTACCAAAACACTCTGTCCCGTTTCTTAAAATTAAACATCTTAAAATGTTTAATCATAAAAATATCATAAATAAAATGTCAAAAGTCTTTTTTATCTGTCAGTTAATGTGAAATGATCTCACTTTCTGTGTTCAGCCTGTAAAATTCTGTTGAATGAGGTGGAGGAAGACGGTGAATGAAGCTTCAGGTATAAAGACAGGCTTGTTTCTCCCGTGTGTGTGTGTGTGTTGAAGCCCACCCTCGTATCTCTGAAGTCTCTAGTTCTCTAGTGACGGTGGGCTGCAGTTCTGAATGTGGAACCGTCAGTGAGTCTGAGGGGCAGAAGTGCTACGAGTTCAGCCAGGGGTGGTTGAGGCACTCTGAAGCAGAGGCCCGTTTCTCCGGCACCATCTCCAGCATGGGCAACAAGAAGTGTGTGAAGTGACCAGCGTCCTCGGCCGACCAGCCGTACTTTTCCACCAGCACATCAAACAGAGTCCAGGGCTTGAGTTTCGTGATGTGCCGCAGTTCACCTGGAGAGAGAGACGCCAGATCAGCTGCTGCAGGAAAACACAGCTGCAAGCCCCGCCCCATCACTAATGCAAGACCCGGCCCCTTCATTACTGCAAGCCCTGCCCCATTACTACTGAGAGACCCGCCCCATCAATAATGCAAGACCCGCCCCTTTATTACTGCAAGACCCACCCCTTTATTACTGCAAGACCTGCCCCCTTTATTACTGCAAGACCTGCCCGTTTATTACTGCAAGACCCGCCCGTTTATTACTGCAAGACCTGCCCTTTTATTACTGCAAAACCCGCCCGTTTATTACTGCAAGACCCGCCCCTTTATTACTGCAAGACCCACCCCTTTATTACTGCAAGACCTGCCCCTTTATTACTGCAAGACCCGCCCCCTTTATTACTGTAAGACCCGCCCCCTTTATTACTGCAAGACCCGCCCGTTTATTACTGCAAGACCCGCCCCTTTATTACTGCAAGACACGCCCCTTTATTACTGCAAGACCTGCCCCTTTATTACTGCAAGACCCGCCCCCTTTATTACTGTAAGACCCGCCCCCTTTATTACTGTAAGACCCGCCCCCTTTATTACTGCAAGACCTGCCCCTTTATTACTGCAAGACCTGCCCCCTTTATTACTGCAAGACCTGCCCGTTTATTACTGCAAGACCCGCCCCTTTATTACTGCAAGACCTGCCCCCTTTATTACTGCAAGACCTGCCCGTTTATTACTGCAAGACCTGCCCCTTTATTACTGCAAGACCTGCCCCCTTTATTACTGTAAGACCCGCCCCCTTTATTACTGCAAGACCTGCCCGTTTATTACTGCAAGACCTGCCCCCTTTATTACTGTAAGACCCGCCCCCTTTATTACTGCAAGACCTGCCCGTTTATTACTGCAAGACCTGCCCCCTTTATTACTGCAAGACCTGCCCCCTTTATTACTGCAAGACCTGCCCGTTTATTACTGCAAGACCCGGCCCTTTATTACTGCAAGACCCGCCCCTTTATTACTGCAAGACCGGCCCCCTTTATTACTGCAAGACCTGCCCCTTTATTACTGCAAGACCTGCCCCCTTTATTACTGCAAGACCTGCCCGTTTATTACTGCAAGACCTGCCCCTTTATTACTGCAAGACCTGCCCCCTTTATTACTGCAAGACCTGCCCCCTTTATTACTGCAAGACCTGCCCCCTTTATTACTGCAAGACCTGCCCCCTTTATTACTGCAAGACCCGCCTGTTTATTACTGCAAGACCCCCCCTTTATTACTGCAAGACCCGCCCCTTTATTACTGCAAGACCTGCCCCTTTATTACTGCAAGACCCGCCCCCTTTATTACTGTAAGACCCGCCCCCTTTTTTACTGCAAGACCTGCCCCTTTATTACTGCAAGACCTGCCCCCTTTATTACTGCAAGACCTGCCCGTTTATTACTGCAAGACCCGCCCCTTTATTACTGCAAGACCTGCCCCCTTTATTACTGCAAGACCCGCCCGTTTATTACTGCAAGACCCGCCCCTTTATTACTGCAAGACCCGCCCCTTTATTACTGCAAGACCTGCCCCTTTATTACTGCAAGACCCGCCCCCTTTATTACTGTAAGACCCGCCCCCTTTATTACTGCAAGACCTGCCCCTTTATTACTGCAAGACCTGCCCCCTTTATTACTGCAAGACCTGCCCGTTTATTACTGCAAGACCCGCCCCTTTATTACTGCAAGACCTGCCCCCTTTATTACTGCAAGACCTGCCCGTTTATTACTGCAAGACCTGCCCCTTTATTACTGCAAGACCTGCCCCCTTTATTACTGTAAGACCCGCCCCCTTTATTACTGCAAGACCTGCCCGTTTATTACTGCAAGACCTGCCCCCTTTATTACTGTAAGACCCGCCCCCTTTATTACTGCAAGACCTGCCCGTTTATTACTGCAAGACCTGCCCGTTTATTACTGCAAGACCCGCCCCTTTATTACTGCAAGACCCGCCCCTTTATTACTGCAAGACCGGCCCCCTTTATTACTGCAAGACCTGCCCGTTTATTACTGCAAGACCTGCCCCTTTATTACTGCAAGACCTGCCCCTTTATTACTGCAAGACCTGCCCCTTTATTACTGCAAGACCGGCCCCCTTTATTACTGCAAGACCTGCCCCCTTTATTACTGCAAGACCTGCCCCCTTTATTACTGCAAGACCCGCCCGTTTATTACTGCAAGACCCGCCCCTTTATGACTGCAAGACCCGCCCCTTTATTACTGCAAGACCGGCCCCCTTTATTACTGCAAGACCTGCCCCCTTTATTACTGTAAGACCCGCCCCCTTTATTACTGCAAGACCGGCCCCCTTTATTACTGCAAGACCTGCCCCTTTATTACTGCAAGACCTGCCCCCTTTATTACTGTAAGACCCGCCCCCTTTATTACTGCAAGACCTGCCACCTTTATTACTGTAAGACCTGCCCCCTTTATTACTGTAAGACCCGCCCCTTTATTACTGCAAGACCTGCCCCCTTTATTACTGTAAGACCTGACCCCTTTATTACTGTAAGACCTGCCCCCTTTATTACTGCAAGACCTGCCCTCTTTAATACTGTAAGACCCGCCCCTTTATTACTGCAAGACCTTCCCCCTTTATTACTGCAAGACCCGCCCCCTTTATTACTGCAAGACCCGCCCTCTTTAATACTGTGAGACCTGTCCCCTTTATTACTGCAAGACACGCCCACATTATTGCTGTAAGACACACCCACATTATTGCCGTAAGACACACCCACATTATTGCCGTAAGACACACCCACATTATTGCTGTAAGACACACCCACATTATTGCCGTAAGACACCCCCACATTATTGCCGTAAGACACCCCCACATTATTGCTGTAAGACACACCCACATTATTGCCGTAAGACACACCCACATTATTGCTGTAAGACACACCCACATTATTGCTGTAAGACACACCCACATTATTGACCTCAGAGCAGAACCATTTGAGAGACTGGATTACAGGTCTGATGGTGTAAATGAAACGGTCCTGAAGGAGACAGGAGTCAGACTGCAGAGTTACGGTTACCTTTCTTTGAGAAGAACTCACGGCTGTATTTTCCTGCTGCGATGATCTTGCGGGGGATTTTTCCCAGCAACTCCATAATCAGAGCGATGTGGTCTGACCACCAAACACACACACACACAACATCAGTTATTCATGCAGTGGTGCAGGAGGACGGAGGGACGCGTCGGCCATTACACACACACTGACGTCTGGTTAACACCAGTTCAGCTCACACACACGTCTGCCATTAAAGGCTCATGAAATGGAAAATCCAGATATCTGCATATATAAGAAGTTCACCAATCACAGCAGCGGCTGTTAACTCGAGTTTCTGAAAGAGGAAATCATGTCTACGAATATTTGGAAAATATTTTTGGTGAAAAAAAAATCTATAAAATAACCTCCAAAACATAAGATAAAGGTGTGAAAATGCATTTCATGACCCTTTAGAATCCAGCCCTGTAACGGCAGTGTGTGTGTGTGTGTGTGTGTGTGTGGCGGACACTCACATCCGTCGCTCCCTCTGAGTCTAACACTACCTCTCCGGTTGAAGAACTCCCGGGAATATTTTCCAGAAAGAGCAAAGTGTCGAGGAATGCAGCCAAGAAGCTCTATGATGTGAGCTATGTGATCTACAGGAGACAGAAAGAGGAAGAGGAGGGAAAAGTGGCGGGAATATAGAGAAAGAGATAAAGCGGAAGAGCCGGGAGTTTAGATCAGCCAGAAACACTCTAAACACTGACATCTGAACTCTAATGGTTACGCTGGGTTTTAAACTGCATCTCGAGCGACAGACAAGAACAGAGCGAAGAGTAACAGGGTTCACAGCGAAATAATGTTCAGAATGGAATACTAGTGTCACATAACCTCATCCGGCTGCATGTGTACTTCAGAGTGGCGGAAGAGCGGATCATGTCTCTGTGTAACGCTCGATTGTGATTGGTCACTGGTGTAACGCTCGCTTGTGATTGGTCACTGGTGTAACGCTCCCTTGTGATTGGTCACTGGTGTAACGCTCGCTTGTGATTGGTCACTGGTGTAACGCTCGCTTGTGATTGGTCACTGGTGTAACGCTCGCTTGTGATTGGTCACTGGTGTAACGCTCGCTTGTGAGGGATTGAGGGATTGGTCACTGGTGTAACGCTCGATTGTGATTGGTCACTGGTGTAACGCTCCCTTGTGATTGGTCACTGGTGTAACGCTCGCTTGTGATTGGTCACTGGAGTTAACGCTCGATTGTGATTGGTCACTGGAGTTAACGCTCGATTGTGATTGGTCACTAGTGTAACGCTCGATTGTGATTGTCACTGGTGTAACGCTCCCTTGTGATTGGTCACTGGAGTTAACGCTCGATTGTGATTGGTCACTGGTGTAATGCTCGATTGTGATTGGTCACTGGTGTAATGCTCGATTGTGATTGGTCACTGGTGTAATGCTCGATTGTGATTGGTCACTGGTGTAATGCTCGATTGTGATTGGTCACTGGTGTAACGCTCGATTGTGATTGGTCACTGGTGTAACGCTCGATTGTGATTGGTCACTGGTGTAACGCTCGCTTGTGATTGGTCACTGGTGTAACGCTCGATTGTGATTGGTCACTGGTGTAACGCTCGATTGTGAGTGGTCACTGGTGTAATGCTCGATTGTGATTGGTCACTGGTGTAACGCTCGATTGCGATTGGTCACTGGTGTAACGCTCGCTTGTGATTGGTCACTGGTGTAACGCTCGATTGTGATTGGTCACTGGTGTAATGCTCGCTTGTGATTGGTCACTGGTGTAACGCTCGATTGTGATTGGTCACTGGTGTAACGCTCGATTGTGATTGGTCACTGGTGTAACGCTCGCTTGTGATTGGTCACTGGTGTAACGCTCGCTTGTGATTGGTCACTGGTGTAACGCTCGCTTGTGATTGGTCACTGGTGTAACGCTCGCTTGTGATTGGTCACTGGTGTAACGCTCGCTTGTGATTGGTCACTGGTGTAACGCTCGCTTGTGATTGGTCACTGGTGTAACGCTCGCTTGTGATTGGTCACTAGTGTAACGCTCGCTTGTGATTGGTCACTGGTGTAACGTTCGCTTGTGATTGGTCACTAGTGTAACGCTCGATTGTGATTGGTCACTGGTGTAACGCTCCCTTGTGATTGGTCACTGGTGTAACGCTCGCTTGTGATTGGTCACTGGAGTTAACGCTCGATTGTGATTGGTCACTAGTGTAACGCTCGATTGTGATTGGTCACTAGTGTAACGCTCCCTTGTGATTGGTCACTGGTGTAACGCTCACTTGTGATTGGTCACTGGAGTTAACGCTCGATTGTGATTGGTCACTGGTGTAACGCTCGCTTGTGATTGGTCACTAGTGTAACGCTCGATTGTGATTGGTCACTGGTGTAACGCTCGATTGTGATTGGTCACTGGTGTAACGCTCGATTGTGATTGGTCACCGGTGTAACGCTCGATTGTGATTGGTCACTGGAGTTAACGCTCGATTGTGATTGGTCACTGGTGTAACGCTCGCTTGTGATTGGTCACTGGAGTTAACGCTCGCTTGTGATTGGTCACTGGTGTAACGCTCGATTGTGATTGGTCACTGGTGTAATGCTCGATTGTGATTGGTCACCGGTGTAACGCTCGCTTGTGATTGGTCACTGGAGTTAATGCTCGATTGTGACTGGTCACTGGTGTAATGCTCGCTTGTGATTGGTCACTGGTGTAACGCACGATTGTGATTGGTCACTGGTGTAATGCTCGATTGTGATTGGTCACTGGTGTAATGCTCGATTGTGATTGGTCACTGGTGTAACGCTCAATTGTGATTGGTCACTGATGTAATGCTTGATTGTGATTGGTCACTGGTGTAATGCTCGATTGTGATTGGTCACTGGTGTAATGCTCGATTAGTGATTGGTCTCTGGTGTAATGCTTGATTGTGATTGGTCACTGATGTAACACTAGATTGTGATTGGTCACTGGTGTAACGCTCGCTTGTGATTGGTCACTGGTGTAACGCTCGCTTGTGATTGGTCACTGGTGTAACGCTCGATTGTGATTGGTCACTGGTGTAATGCTCGATTGTGATTGGTCACCGGTGTAACGCTCGCTTGTGATTGGTCACTGGAGTTAACGCTCGATTGTGATTGGTCACTGGTGTAACGCTCGCTTGTGATTGGTCACTGGTGTAACGCTCGATTGTGATTGGTTACTGGTGTAACACTAGATTGTAATTGGTCACTGGTGTAATGCTCAATTGTGATTGGTCCCTGGTGTAATGCTCAATTGTGATTGGTCACTGGTTTAACGCTCGATTGTGATTGGTCACTGGTGTAATACTTGATAATGTTGGCAGTGTTGGCAGAATGAGAGATTCTCTAATCAGACTCTATGAATGTGCAGTGACCTGTCCTCCATTCTGAACCCAGAGGAGCGTAAACATCTGTACCTTCATCCCGAGAGTAGTCTTCCCCCGAGTGTGGCTCGAACAGATAGTCTCCGGTGGCGAGCTCGAACGCCTATGGACACAGAGGAGATGAAGCGTTCTAAAACACACACACACACACACACACACACACACACACACACACACACGCACACACGCACACACGCGCGCTCACCATGCAGGCTGTGCTCCAGATGTCGGCTGGAGTGCTGTATCCCGCACCAATCAGGACCTCGACGGACCGGTACTGCCTCGTCTGGATGTCCTCCGTGAAGTGCTTGTGCTGGAAACACAATCACACTTCAGATCTGCACACAGCTCACCTATTTACACTCATATGCACATTTACAGCATCTTACCACCCAGCATGCATTGCCCAGGTCAGCGATTTTGACTCTCAGAACATCTGCGTTGCGCGGATCCAGAGGATTGACCAGCAGATCGGCCGCTCGAACCCTCGCTGCAGGACAGACGGAGTGTGTATTAGTCAACATACAGCAGTGTGTGTCACTGGCTACGTTTACATGCACAACTTTGGTTTCAATCGGACTGAATTCATTCTGATTGATGAATCCGAAAGTAGTGTTTACATGGATGCTAAACGTGATCGGGTTGATGTGTGTGTTTTTATATCACAAGCTTCAAATCGGGAAAGATTTTTTGGCATGCGCATTTGTGCATAATAACCATTCCCCTACATTGGTTCTTTATTTGTTTTAAACCGCAGACTTAATATTGATCCATTTCTGGTCATAATTTGGAGACAATGAGCATATGAATTTATAAATGTATCAATTAAATTTATATTTATCAAGCAGTAAAAATGCCTGGGAACTGAAAAAAAGCACTGGTGGTCCATTGTCCTGCTGCACTTCACAGACACTGAGGAGTGAAAGGAGAATTATAGGATGACGGGAAACTCGTTTATATGACACTTTATTCAACAGGAACAACAGCTTGTTTCGTGCGTCACACGTCATTACGCTCTTTCTACGTCATTGCACATGCACAGTCCTTTCAGTTTGGGTTTTCAACCGATCAAGTGTTTACATGTTCTCTCGATCGGATTAGAAAAGGAATAAACGGATATAAAATAAATATATTTGGATCGAGCTCAATCGGATCGATTAAGGAGTTTATATGAAGGCTTTTCAGTCCGATTGAGCCGTCAATCCCATTATTAACGATTATTTGGTTGCATGTGAACGTAGCCAGCGTGTGTGTGTGTGTGTGACTGACTGCTGAGCGTGTCTCATGTAAACGTAGCCAGTGTGTGTGTGTGTGTGTGACTGACTGCTGAGCGTGTCTCATGTAAACGTAGCCAGTGTGTGTGACTGACCTCTGGGCGTGTCCCCGGTGCTGGACGAGGACACGGTTCTGCTGCGGTCAGTGTTCCCGCTGAGAGCCTGGGCCTCGTCCTCGGCGTCGGGGAGCGTGGGGTCCAGCGGGAGCTCGGGGAAGCGTGGGGTGGTGCCCCGGTGCCGAGACCCGTTGGGGAGTCCGGGTTCTGCGTTGAGGTGTCCGGGTTCTCCATTGGGGAGTCCGGGTTCTCCGTTGGGAAGCTCGTGGGAGGCGTCGGAAGCCTCGCGGTCGGTCGTGCTGATCTCCGACTCCACCAGAGGGCAGAGGAGCGAGGACTGAGGCATGCTGGGAGACTCACGCTCCTGCACACACATGATCACATGACCGTTAGTCTTAGAGGATTCATTGTGCTCTTGGCCTTCACCGTCTGCCTCCTCCTCCTCCTCCTCCTCCTCCTCCTCCTCCTCCTCCTCCTCCTCCTCCTCCTCCTCCTCCTCCTCCTCCTCCTCCTCCTCCTCCTCCTCCTCCTCCTCCTCCTCCTCCTCCTCCTCCTCCTCCTCCTCCTCCTCCTCTTCCTCCTCCTCCTCATCATCATCATCGTCGTATTCTTCTTCATCCTCCTCCTCCTCCTCGTCCTCTTGTCTCTCTGTCGTCTCAGTTTCTCCCTGGTTCGTACTCTCCTGTGTCTTCAGCTCATCTGTGGTGTTCTGCGTGGGCGTGACTTCTGTTTCCTCTTCCTCGGCTTTATCCTCCTCTTCCTCTCCCGCATCTTCATTTCCCTCCTGTTCTTCTGGTTGTCCTGAGTTTTCCCGCTCCTCCAGCTGTCCGGGTGGAGTATGTGTGGGTGACTCTTCTTCTTCCTCGTTCTCCTCACTTTCCTGCTGGTCCTGATCCGGTTCTGCGCCTGAGAGACACAGAGACATCGGCTCAAAAACACACAACCAAACTTTTTAGGTCGTCATCATTATTGTGAAGAATTTCAAAAAAAACCTCAGAACAATCCTCACAGTACATCAGCCAAAACTAAACCAACACAGACGTACATAAGGCCTTTGATTCAACAAGACAAACATTGTGGCGTCTTCTTGCGATTTAGGAGTTTTTACCAGGTTAGTTACATTACAAAGTACTGCTACTTTTCAACCTCATAGTATCATTATTTCTGTGATACAATAGTTGGAATTATCAAAGAAGTCCTGGGATAAAAGTTTAAAGTAAAAAAAAAAAAGCAATACGTATCGTATCGTCACTCGGTAAAGCGTGGGATGCAGTGGAGTAAAGCGTGGGATGCAGTGGAGTAAAGCGTGGGATGCAGGGGTGTAAAGCGTGGGATGCAGGGGTGTAAAGCGTGTTGTCTGGAGTGACGAATCATGCTTCTCTGTCTGCCAATCCGATGAACGAGTCTGGGTTTGGCGGTTCTCAGGTGAACGGTACTTGCTTGATTGCATTGTGCCAAGTGTAAAGTTTGGTGGAGGGGGGATTATGGTGTGGGGTTGTTTTTCAGGGGTTGGACTCGACCCCTTAGTTCCAGTGAAAGGAACTCATAATGCTTTGGCAATATAGTGTACACTCACCTAAAGGATTATTAGGAACACCTGTTCAATTTCTCATTAATGCAATTATCTAATCAACCAATCACATGGCAGTTGCTTCAATGCATTTAGGGCTGTGGTCCTGGTCAAGACAATCTCCTGAACTCCAAACTGAATGTCAGAATGGGAAGGAAAGGTGATTTAAGCAATTTTGAGCGTGGCATGGTTGTTGGTGCCAGACGGGCCGGTCTGAGTATTTCACAATCTGCTCAGTTACTGGGATTTTCACGCACAACCATTTCTAGGGTTTACAAAGAATGGTGTGAAAAGGGAAAAACATCCCGTATGCGGCAGTCCTGTGGGGGAAAATGCCTTGTTGATGCTAGAGGTCAGAGGAGAATGGGCCGACTGATTCAAGCTGATAGAAGGGCAACAGTGACTGAAATAACCACTCGTTACAACCGAGGTATGCAGCAAAGCATTTGTGAAGCCACAACACGCACAACCTTGAGGCGGATGGGCTACAACAGCAGAAGACCCCACCGGGTACCACTCATCTCCACTACAAATAGGAAAAAGAGGCTACAATTTGCAAGAGCTCACCAAAATTGGACAGTTGAAGACTGGAAAAATGTTGCCTGGTCTGATGAGTCTCGATTTCTGTTGAGACATTCAGATGGTAGAGTCAGAATTTGGCGTAAACAGAATGAGAACATGGATCCATCATGCCACCACTGTGCAGGCTGGTGGTGGTGGTGTAATGGTGTGGGGTTTTCTTGGCACACTTTAGGCCCCTTAGTGCCAATTGGGCATCGTTTAAATGCCACGGCCGACCTGAGCATTGTTTCTGACCATGTCCATCCCTTTATGGCCACCATGTACCCATCCTCTGATGGCTACTTCCAGCAGGATAATGCACCATGTCACAAAGCTCGAATCATTTCAAATTGGTTTCTTGAACATGACAATGAGTTCACTGTACTAAAATGGCCCCCACAGTAGGGATGCGCGGTATACCGGTACTGCAAAAATACCGGTATATATTATATTTCAAACGGTACAATATCATAATTTTGTTCAATTCGGTATTTGATGCGCTGCTGTTTCGAAGTTCACCGCTAGAAGGCAGGGCGCTACCTAAACTGACGCGGGTCACGCGAAACCGGCAAACGGTGACAACGGAGGAACACGATGGATCAAACGAAGCTCATTCGAATTTCTAAAACGCCCGAAATGAATAAATAGAGAGAGCAGTATGAGTGAAATAAGGCATTACTTTGCCAACAAAAGTAATGAGAAAAGTAAAGAAACAGATCTCAATGCACCACTCTGCACACGGGGAGGCAACACATCAAATCTGCCTATAGTACTTGACTTGTCAGTTGCTCATCTTGACTTGTTCAGAGAGTTCAGAGATTGACAGGTTAGTCCATCATTAAACTGATTTAATTTAGACTTTTATTGAAAATTGAACAGCGCACATACATAAGAGCTTATCATATATGATACGGTAAACACGAAGGCTCAAATCTGCTTGCATGACATGCTAGAACCAATTAAGTTTAGTCTCATCATTTTTGCACTTTCAAACAAACATATATTAATTGAATTTGAATGAATAAAGAATAAAAATGTGAATAATATTAATTTTAGTATTAGTGATAGTAAAATGAATGGCATATTAGTGCCGCTGTGGCGACCCCTAGAGCAATAAGCCGAGAGAGGGAGAGAGTAACAGTAGTAATATTAATATTACTAATATTACAAGCTACATTTGTCAACATTCATTAGGTAACCTGACCTAACAGTAATATAGCATTTATTAATCTATATCAATCAGTAATTAAAATGACCTAGAAAATTAAATATACTAATACATGTTTAGCATGTTAACATTACTTTATGCAATGCATTAAACTAATATGAACCCAAACAGTAACCAAACCAAGATGAATAAATGCAATAAATGTTGATAAATCTCTGTTGATGCATGACAGCTAATGGTTTACATGTCATTTCATTATTATATTATTATTATTATATGTGAATCTATTATTATAGATATTAACCTATTTTAATTGTATAATTTCAGTTTTTTTTTTTTTTTTCAAAATCAAATTTGAACCTATGTTCCCTGACTGATTTTCTTCTTTTTTTTTTTTTACAATTTGATACATTTTCTTTGCACATTTGGTAGTGGAGTTTCAAGCAGTGTTTTTTAAGTGTCACTTAAATTTTGAGACTGTTTTTTTTTAACCTGTGGTATCGATTTAGTATCGATACCGAGGTATTAGGTTCTGGTATCGTACCGAAGCCAAAATTGTGGTATCGAGCCATCCCTAACACACAGTCACCAGATCTCAACCCAATAGAGCATCTTTGGGATGTGGGGGAACGGGAGCTTCGTGCCCTGGATGTGCATCCCACAAATCTCCATCAACTGCAAGATGCTATCCTATCAATATGGGCCAACATTTCTAAAGAATGCTTTCAGCACCTTGTTGAATCAATGCCACGCAGAATTAAGGCAGTTCTGAAGGCGAAAGGGGGTCAAACACAGTATTAGTATGGTGTTCCTAATAATCCTTTAGGTGAGTTTATGTATCCATTTACAGAATATACATGCATGTACGTTAGATCTGCTCCTGTCAAATAATGAACAGTAATGAAAGAAAAATAAAAAGGAAATGATGCTAGTTTTCATGTGTGACTGATCCCTGATGTAGTAGAGGCTCACTCACATGTGTGGTTGGTGAGTCTGATGGGCCTCTCCTTCTCTCCCTCGGCCTCCTCGTCCTCATCAACCTCTTCATCATCCTCTTCCTCACTGTCTGCCAGCGCCAGGGCGGGGCTGGGGGCGGAGTCTGAGGCTCCACCCACTCTCTGTTTCTCCGCCTCTCGCTCCAGCGCTTCGATCTCCAGCATGCGTCTCTCCAGCAGCTCCGCTTGACGCTTCTGCTTCTTCTTCAGCTTCTTCTTCTTATTTTTGGAAATCTTCCCCACCTGTAGGAGGCGCACACCACAGCAAACAGCTCAAACACACACACTCCTCTCTGGCGTCATCACTCGGCTCTTCCCCTCAATATCAGCACATTCACTACACTTACTACACTTACTACAGGTTGGTTATTCCCTATAATACTGCCGCCATCATGATGTGCTCGTTTCATTATAATAGTTTTGTAAAAGCTGGATTTCATGTGTTTGTTACAGATAATTAAACCTACAGATCAGAGCTAGAGAGTTAGTGTGACTAAAGCCTTATAAAAGGGTTCTTGAATAAACATGTTCCTGTATGTAATATGTAGACGTCTGATGTGTTGAGGATGTAAAGCAGCTGTGTGTGTGTGTGTGTGTGTGTGTGTGGGAACGGCTTCACTGACCTGTTTGAGTTGAGGAGCCGTGCTGACTGCAAACAAACACACACACACACACACACACACACACACACACACACAGAGTCAGTGTCACACTCATTACGTGGAGGATCATGACAGGAATCAGGGATGAACGGAGGAGAAGAAACAGAGGATGAACGGAGGAGAAGAAACAGAGGATGAACGGAGGAGAAGAAACAGAGGATGAACGGAGGAGAAGAAACAGAGGATGAACGGAGGAGTACCGGCGGATCCTGAGGGAGGAGGCGCTCCTGCTTTCTGCCACTCGGTGGCCTCGACTGCCATCCTGCGCACGAAGGCCTCGTCCACACACATCAGGATGTTCTCTGGCTTGATGTCCGTGTGGATGATCTTACACTTACTGTGAAGGTAGTCCAGCCCCTGCAGAACCTGCACACACACACACACACACACACACGTCAGGCCCTCGTCTGAGTGACGTCTCATGCCCATAACTGAGCTTAACCGCCACAACACACACACACATTTAAGGTCCTTGTACACTGGCAGAAATTTTCAGCAGAATTTTTTGCACGTTAAAAAATAAATACGACCTCACGTCCAGTGAGGGAGTGTGTGAGGGAGTGTGTGGGTCAGTGAGGGAGTGTGTGGGTCAGTGAGGGAGTGTGTGGGTCAGTGAGGGAGTGTGTGGGTCAGTGAGGGAGTGTGAGGGTCAGTGAGGGAGTGTGTGGGTCAGTGAGGGAGTGTGTGGGTCAGTGAGGGAGTGTGTGGGTCAGTGTGGGAGTGTGTGGGTCAGTGAGGGAGTGTGTGGGTCAGTGACGGAGTGTGTGGGTCAGTGAGGGAGTGTGTGGGTCAGTGACGGAGTGTGTGGGTCAGTGAGGGAGTGTGTGGGTCAGTGAGGGAGTGTGTGGGTCAGTGAGGGAGTGTGTGGGTCAGTGAAGGAGTGTGAGGGTCAGTGAGGGAGTGTGTGGGTCAGTGAGGGAGTGTGTGGGTCAGTGAGGGAGTGTGTGGGTCAGTGAGGGAGTGTGTGGGTCAGTGAGGGAGTGTGTGGGTCAGTGAGGGAGTGTGTGGGTCAGTGACGGAGTGTGTGGGTCAGTGAGGGAGTGTGTGGGTCAGTGAGGGAGTGTGTGGGTCAGTGAGGGAGTGTGTGGGTCAGTGACGGAGTGTGTGGGTCAGTGAGGGAGTGTGTGGGTCAGTGAGGGAGTGTGTGGGTCAGTGAGGGAGTGTGTGGGTCAGTGAGGGAGTGTGTGGGTCAGTGAGGGAGTGTGTGGGTCAGTGACGGAGTGTGTGGGTCAGTGAGGGAGTGTGTGGGTCAGTGACGGAGTGTGTGGGTCAGTGACGGAGTGTGTGGGTCAGTGAGGGAGTGTGTGGGTCAGTGAGGGAGTGTGTGGGTCAGTGAGGGAGTGTGTGGGTCAGTGAGGGAGTGTGTGGGTCAGTGAGGGAGTGTGTGGGTCAGTGAGGGAGTGTGTGGGTCAGTGACGGAGTGTGTGGGTCAGTGACGGAGTGTGAGGGTCAGTGTCGGAGTGTGTGGGTCAGTGAGGGAGTGTGTGGGTCAGTGAGGGAGTGTGTGGGTCAGTGACGGAGTGTGTGGGTCAGTGAGGGAGTGTGAGGGTCAGTGACGGAGTGTGTGGGTCAGTGAGGGAGTGTGTGGGTCAGTGAGGGAGTGTGAGGGTCAGTGACGGAGTGTGTGGGTCAGTGAGGGAGTGTGTGGGTCAGTGAGGGAGTGTGTGGGTCAGTGAGGGAGTGTGTGGGTCAGTGACGGAGTGTGTGGGTCAGTGACGGAGTGTGTGGGTCAGTGAGGGAGTGTGTGGGTCAGTGAGGGAGTGTGTGGGTCAGTGAGGGAGTGTGAGGGTCAGTGAGGGAGTGTGAGGGTCAGTGAGGGAGTGTGTGGGTCAGTGAGGGAGTGTGAGGGTCAGTGAGGGAGTGTGTGGGTCAGTGACGGAGTGTGTGGGTCAGTGACGGAGTGTGTGGGTCAGTGAGGGAGTGTGTGGGTCAGTGAGGGAGTGTGTGGGTCAGTGAGGGAGTGTGTGGGTCAGTGAGGGAGTGTGTGGGTCAGTGAGGGAGTGTGAGGGTCAGTGAGGGAGTGTGTGGGTCAGTGACGGAGTGTGTGGGTCAGTGACGGAGTGTGTGGGTCAGTGAGGGAGTGTGTGGGTCAGTGAGGGAGTGTGTGGGTCAGTGAGGGAGTGTGTGGGTCAGTGAGGGAGTGTGTGGGTCAGTGAGGGAGTGTGTGGGTCAGTGAGGGAGTGTGTGGGTCAGTGAGGGAGTGTGTGGGTCAGTGAGGGAGTGTGAGGGTCAGTGAGGGAGTGTGTGGGTCAGTGAGGGAGTGTGTGGGTCAGTGAGGGAGTGTGTGGGTCAGTGAGGGAGTGTGTGGGTCAGTGAGGGAGTGTGTGGGTCAGTGAGGGAGTGTGTGGGTCAGTGAGGGAGTGTGAGGGTCAGTGAGGGAGTGTGAGGGTCAGTGAGGGAGTGTGTGGGTCAGTGAGGGAGTGTGTGGGTCAGTGACGGAGTGTGTGGGTCAGTGAGGGAGTGTGAGGGTCAGTGAGGGAGTGTGTGGGTCAGTGAGGGAGTGTGTGGGTCAGTGAGGGAGTGTGTGGGTCAGTGAGGGAGTGTGTGGGTCAGTGAGGGAGTGTGTGGGTCAGTGAGGGAGTGTGTGGGTCAGTGAGGGAGTGTGAGGGTCAGTGAGGGAGTGTGTGGGTCAGTGACGGAGTGTGTGGGTCAGTGAGGGAGTGTGTGGGTCAGTGAGGGAGTGTGAGGGTCAGTGACGGAGTGTGTGGGTCAGTGAGGGAGTGTGTGGGTCAGTGAGGGAGTGTGTGGGTCAGTGAGGGAGTGTGTGGGTCAGTGACGGAGTGTGTGGGTCAGTGACGGAGTGTGTGGGTCAGTGAGGGAGTGTGTGGGTCAGTGAGGGAGTGTGTGGGTCAGTGAGGGAGTGTGAGGGTCAGTGAGGGAGTGTGTGGGTCAGTGAGGGAGTGTGAGGGTCAGTGAGGGAGTGTGTGGGTCAGTGAGGGAGTGTGTGGGTCAGTGAGGGAGTGTGTGGGTCAGTGAGGGAGTGTGTGGGTCAGTGAGGGAGTGTGTGGGTCAGTGAGGGAGTGTGAGGGTCAGTGAGGGAGTGTGTGGGTCAGTGACGGAGTGTGTGGGTCAGTGACGGAGTGTGTGGGTCAGTGAGGGAGTGTGTGGGTCAGTGAGGGAGTGTGTGGGTCAGTGAGGGAGTGTGTGGGTCAGTGAGGGAGTGTGTGGGTCAGTGAGGGAGTGTGTGGGTCAGTGAGGGAGTGTGTGGGTCAGTGAGGGAGTGTGTGGGTCAGTGAGGGAGTGTGAGGGTCAGTGAGGGAGTGTGTGGGTCAGTGAGGGAGTGTGTGGGTCAGTGAGGGAGTGTGTGGGTCAGTGAGGGAGTGTGTGGGTCAGTGAGGGAGTGTGTGGGTCAGTGAGGGAGTGTGTGGGTCAGTGAGGGAGTGTGAGGGTCAGTGAGGGAGTGTGAGGGTCAGTGAGGGAGTGTGTGGGTCAGTGAGGGAGTGTGTGGGTCAGTGACGGAGTGTGTGGGTCAGTGAGGGAGTGTGAGGGTCAGTGAGGGAGTGTGTGGGTCAGTGAGGGAGTGTGTGGGTCAGTGAGGGAGTGTGTGGGTCAGTGAGGGAGTGTGTGGGTCAGTGAGGGAGTGTGTGGGTCAGTGAGGGAGTGTGTGGGTCAGTGAGGGAGTGTGAGGGTCAGTGAGGGAGTGTGTGGGTCAGTGACGGAGTGTGTGGGTCAGTGAGGGAGTGTGTGGGTCAGTGAGGGAGTGTGAGGGTCAGTGACGGAGTGTGTGGGTCAGTGAGGGAGTGTGTGGGTCAGTGAGGGAGTGTGTGGGTCAGTGAGGGAGTGTGTGGGTCAGTGACGGAGTGTGTGGGTCAGTGACGGAGTGTGTGGGTCAGTGAGGGAGTGTGTGGGTCAGTGAGGGAGTGTGTGGGTCAGTGAGGGAGTGTGAGGGTCAGTGAGGGAGTGTGTGGGTCAGTGAGGGAGTGTGAGGGTCAGTGAGGGAGTGTGTGGGTCAGTGAGGGAGTGTGTGGGTCAGTGAGGGAGTGTGTGGGTCAGTGAGGGAGTGTGTGGGTCAGTGAGGGAGTGTGTGGGTCAGTGAGGGAGTGTGTGGGTCAGTGAGGGAGTGTGTGGGTCAGTGACGGAGTGTGTGGGTCAGTGAGGGAGTGTGAGGGTCAGTGACGGAGTGTGTGGGTCAGTGAGGGAGTGTGTGGGTCAGTGAGGGAGTGTGAGGGTCAGTGACGGAGTGTGTGGGTCAGTGAGGGAGTGTGTGGGTCAGTGAGGGAGTGTGTGGGTCAGTGAGGGAGTGTGTGGGTCAGTGACGGAGTGTGTGGGTCAGTGACGGAGTGTGTGGGTCAGTGAGGGAGTGTGTGGGTCAGTGAGGGAGTGTGTGGGTCAGTGAGGGAGTGTGAGGGTCAGTGAGGGAGTGTGTGGGTCAGTGAGGGAGTGTGAGGGTCAGTGAGGGAGTGTGTGGGTCAGTGAGGGAGTGTGTGGGTCAGTGAGGGAGTGTGTGGGTCAGTGAGGGAGTGTGTGGGTCAGTGAGGGAGTGTGTGGGTCAGTGAGGGAGTGTGTGGGTCAGTGAGGGAGTGTGTGGGTCAGTGAGGGAGTGTGAGGGTCAGTGAGGGAGTGTGAGGGTCAGTGAGGGAGTGTGTGGGTCAGTGAGGGAGTGTGTGGGTCAGTGACGGAGTGTGTGGGTCAGTGAGGGAGTGTGAGGGTCAGTGAGGGAGTGTGTGGGTCAGTGAGGGAGTGTGTGGGTCAGTGAGGGAGTGTGTGGGTCAGTGAGGGAGTGTGTGGGTCAGTGAGGGAGTGTGTGGGTCAGTGAGGGAGTGTGAGGGTCAGTGAGGGAGTGTGTGGGTCAGTGAGGGAGTGTGTGGGTCAGTGAGGGAGTGTGAGGGTCAGTGAGGGAGTGTGTGGGTCAGTGAGGGAGTGTGTGGGTCAGTGAGGGAGTGTGTGGGTCAGTGAGGGAGTGTGTGGGTCAGTGAGGGAGTGTGAGGGTCAGTGAGGGAGTGTGTGGGTCAGTGAGGGAGTGTGTGGGTCAGTGAGGGAGTGTGTGGGTCAGTGAGGGAGTGTGTGGGTCAGTGAGGGAGTGTGTGGGTCAGTGAGGGAGTGTGAGGGTCAGTGAGGGAGTGTGTGGGTCAGTGAGGGAGTGTGAGGGTCAGTGAGGGAGTGTGTGGGTCAGTGAGGGAGTGTGTGGGTCAGTGAGGGAGTGTGTGGGTCAGTGAGGGAGTGTGTGGGTCAGTGAGGGAGTGTGTGGGTCAGTGACGGAGTGTGTGGGTCAGTGAGGGAGTGTGAGGGAGTGTGTGGGTCAGTGAGGGAGTTTGTGGGTCAGTGAGGGAGTGTGTGGGTCAGTGTGGGAGTGTGTGGGTCAGTTAGGGTGTGTGTGGGTCAGTGTGGGAGTGTGTGGGTCAGTTAGGGTGTGTGTGGGTCAGTGAGGGAGTGTGTGGGTCAGTGACGGAGTGTGTGGGTCAGTGAGGGAGTGTGAGGGTCAGTGAGGGAGTGTGTGGGTCAGTGAGGGAGTGTGTGGGTCAGTGAGGGAGTGTGTGGGTCAGTGAGGGAGTGTGTGGGTCAGTGAGGGAGTGTGTGGGTCAGTGAGGGAGTGTGTGGGTCAGTGAGGGAGTGTGTGGGTCAGTGAGGGAGTGTGTGGGTCAGTGAGGGAGTGTGTGGGTCAGTGAGGGAGTGTGTGGGTCAGTGAGGGAGTGTGTGGGTCAGTGAGGGAGTGTGTGGGTCAGTGACGGAGTGTGTGGGTCAGTGAGGGAGTGTGTGGGTCAGTGACGGAGTGTGTGGGTCAGTGAGGGAGTGTGTGGGTCAGTGAGGGAGTGTGTGGGTCAGTGAGGGAGTGTGAGTATGGTTACCTGTCTAATGATGCTCTTGACGCAGGGTAACGGCAAACCCTGATAATTAGACTTGATGATCCACTTGAGCAAATGATGACCAAGAACTTCAAACACCATACACACATCTGAGAACCAGAGTTAAAGAAAACGACAACTGACACACACACCTGAGAACAACAACAACAAACACACACACACACTGGGAGGATACGAATCCCATTCACCCCTGAGATCTTGAAGTCGTCTATAAGTTGAACAACCATGTCCTTATTAGGATCATCAGGATCTGTCTCACGCACCTGAGAGAGAGAGAGAGAGAGAGAGAGAGAGAGAGAGAGAGAGAGAGAGAGAGAGAGAGAGAGAGAGAGAGAGAGAGAGAGAGAGAGAGAGAGAGAGAGAGAGAGAGAGAGAGAGAGAGAGGTGTGTAAAGGAAGGAAACAAGGCATGTCTGACTCCAGTGATCGTGTCACATTTGTGAGTGAGTGTGTGAGTGTGTGTGTGTGTGTGTGTGTGTGTGTGTGTGTGTGTGTGTGTGTGTGTGTGTGTGTGTGTGTGTGTGAGAGAGAGAGTGAGAGTGAGTGTGTTAGGTACTCACACATCTGAGTAATTTAATTTCATCCAGTGCCGTTTCTGTGTAATGCTGTGCACTCTTCACAACCTTCATTGCAACAAAACGCTTCGCTCTGTTAACACACACACACACACACACACACAGTTTATACTCGCAATAAGTAACATACACACACACACACACACACACACACTCACTCACACAGTTGGTAACACACACACACACACCCTCATATACTGTAAGTACAGCTTGTCTCTCTTTGAATAGGGAAATATCAAATTCTCCAACGCTTACATTTAAATTTCATATTTGGAATCACCAATGAAATCTGACAACAACTGTTTCATAGATGTTGTTTCTTATGCTCAAATGCTTATTTTTCAGCTGCAGCACAAGTGCATCTCAGAACAATAACTGTTTCTATAGCAACCGGAGCTTCTAACAGCAGCTGCAGTGACGCGATGACATCACCAATCAGCGATTGGCTGTTTAATGTAGAAGGCGGGGCTTATTCTGCGTTGCACTTTCTCCCATTCATAAGTTAGATGAGTGTTTGCCGTTACTCACTGGATGTCCCAGCACAGCCAGACGGTGGAGAAGTGGCCCCAGCCCAGCTTGCGGATCACATGGTACCTGCCGTTGAACAGGTCCCCGATCTTGACCAGATGGTATCCTCCTGCGACACAGAAACACGAGAGCGGCGATGAAACGGGAGAACCCGGATACAGTTTCCTTCAGCTTCTCAGAGAAGAGCTCAGCGGTATCCTCATCCGGCACTCACGCTTATTAACAGCTTTTCCAGCACAGGATTCTGTCACAGTGTGTGTTTCGTCTCTACACTGCGGTATGTGTGTGTGATGTGGATGTAAACATGAGTTCTAGAAGAAGCGGTTTACCAGCATAACTAGATTAGATGATGACAAATAACAGCCTCATTAAACACATGCAACGTTTCACCTTCAGTGAGGACAGAAAACACTGAAGGCTGAAAACTTCTGAAAACGCCAATTACCAGAACCAGTAATAAGATGGGCATGAATGCATGAAAATGTTTTTAAAATAAAAAGTGAAAACAATAATTCACTTGAAATGAATCAAATAAATCACTGCAGGGTCTTCTCTGATTGAATTAAATACACACCGATATTTATTAAAAGCTACAAAAGTTATTCAGGCAAGAGCAGTGAGTGATTTATTAGGCTGCTGTCACTTTAAAGTTTTTAGATGAATATGAATATGTAAATCTGTGCTGCATGCTTTCCTCTCAGTAAGTAGAAGTATATCTGGGGCTTAAGAGCTGATGCACAGATCAATATACTGATACACATCCGATTCCCACAACTCTTTACCTTCACTCGAGACAAACCGACTGTGTTCACATGGATGCTCAGATTTGGACATATTTGTGTGTGTATATGACGGTTTAGCTGCGCACAGAAAGCTGCCTGTCAGTGTGCGAGTACTGAATAAGAGTTATTTTCTGTGGCATATTCCACTTTTAATAACTCTTTTCAATATTAAGGTGATAGTTCACCCAAAACGATCCCACAGTTTACTCACCCTCGAGCCATACTAGGTGTATCTGACTTCTTCCAGGAACACAGTCGGAGTTATATTAAAAAAATATCCTGACTCTTCCCAGCTTTATAACGGGAGTGAATGGAGATTTTGAAGCACATCCATCATAACAGTAATTCATACGGGTTACCATGGGGTTAATAAAGGCC